CCATTGTGGACCATTTGACATGTGCCGTTGTCGTACAGCTGTTGAATAAGGTTGATGAAAGGTGGGAGGGTGGTGACTGCTAGTCAGCGGATATGATGGTGGGGACATATGTGAACCACCCTTATCTGTGGGACAGCACTCTATTGCTAAGGCTCCTGAGTTCGTATGGCTTCTGCAAAATGAGAATAAATAAAAAAGTAAAAACTAAAAAAAATAATTTTTTTTTAAGTGTGCGTCGGTGGTATAGCGGTTAGGACGCTCGCCGACCATGCACATGGTCCGGGTTCGATTCCCGGCCGGCGCACTCCTTTACCTCACTGAGCCAGAAGTAATGCTGGTAAAGAGGAAAAGTTGGGCATGAGGCTAGCAACCCCATCCTGTAAAATTAAAAATGAACACTGCTACAGAAACTTCAAGCCACTAGCTTGGGGCCCTATGTTCCACTGGGAACGTGAAGGAAAAATTATTTTATTATTATTTTAAAAAAAATAATGAAAAATAAAGAAATAGAAGTTGAAAATTGCCTAGAGCCAAAGTTTAAATGCAAACTCCCGAATGAAAGTAAATGGTATGAGTCCGCTACTTCAGAAGGACACCCAACTGTATACTTCAGAAAAACATATATTACTAGGCCCTCGCTTTTCTTTTACATAGCTCACGCACTCTGACTTTTGTGTTTAATTCCTTTTAAACCTCGTAAGTAGGTGAAATTATCTCCTGTTTTTCACTTAAACTAATTGTTCGCAGAAAAGACTGTAAAATATCGGGAAAATAATACTTCTTGAAAAAAAACAATAAAAAATGATAAACCCCATGCCTGTTATATATTTTGAATTATTAACACCTTTTATATACTTCCGCACCTGTCTGTCGGTTTTCTTGTGTCTTCTTCTCTTTTCAAACATACTGCTTTCAACGAAGGTACTGATACAGCGCTGCAATTCTCTACTTATTCGTGATATTGCTAGCTCATCTGGTGAATAACGGGGTCATCAGTATTATAAAATCTGCTGACAAGTTCAAAGTGGGTCTCATAAACAACTGGAAATGTCACAAATATGGTGTACTTACAGGAGAATTTAAAGTTTAATAGACTTAAATATTCTTTCTGAATGGTTTACTGATAATTATTGTTTATTCTGCATCTCTTATGTATCACGTCAGCACCTGTACAGAAATGCTACTTACCTTCCCAACCAACGCAATCATTTATGATTCCCGCGTGAAATTGACATGTATTTTTTTCAATCACAGTTTAGATTTGACGCTGTATCTATTTCCTTATTTGTACACTTCATTTTAAATGTTTCTCTCACATTTGCCAGTATTCAACTTATTTCTAAATTAACAAATCATATTATATATTCTATAAGTATTCATAAGTGTACATATGTTCATGCCTGTAAAAATGGCTGGTTTCTGTTACAGAAATAAAAATTATCATTATTAATATTTGGGGTGCGCCATAGTACTCGAGTAATTTCCCAATTACTTCAAGGTCAACGCTGTCGAAGGCCTTCTCAAATTCTATAAAGTTGAGGTAGAGGTTTGATCACCATTCCATGCTTTGTTCTGTGATGATGATGATGTGTAGAATTGCAATTTGGCCACATCATGATTCGCCTGAGTTTCCTGAATCCAGCTTGTTCTGGTCGGAGTTCTGTATCCTGTATCCAGTGCATCCTTAATTCTCTCCAGGATGATGCGACTCAGGATTTTACTTGGCGTCGACAGGAGCATGATTCCTCACCAGTTCTTGCAGAGTGAGGTGTATGTCGCCCTTCTTTGGTAGTTTTACGAGGTAACCTTTCCTCCAGTCAGTAGGCACCTTTCTCTCCTTCCAGACCTTTGCAATAATGGAGTCAGTATGTCTGCTGTAGTCTCTGGGTCCGCTTTCAGTGCTTCAGGAGGTATTCCATCTGGTCAAGCTGCTTTTCCAGCTTTCAGAAGCTTGATTGTGTTCAAGACTTCAGCTCTCGTTGGGGGATTGGTGTCAACTTGCAGCAGTGTGCCTGCCGTTGTTGGTATTTCTGGACGGGTTGCAGGTGATGGTCGGTTCAAGAGTCCTTCGAAGTGATCCGCCCATTGTTTAATCTGTCTTTCTTCCTTGGTAATTGGGTTCCCTTGGCTGTCTTTTATAGCTTTCGCTTGTGTTGGTCTCTTCCTGGATAGAGACTTGGTTATCTGATATAGTGCCCTCAGGTCCTTTTTGCCTGCTGCCTTCTCAGCTTCAGTGGCCAAGTTGTCATAGAATCGTCTTTTTTCCTTCCTAGCACTCTCTTTCACTTCTTTGTCCAGTGCTGTGTACGTTGAGCTCAGCGTCTCATTTTCTTGGCCGTCCTTGCATTTAATCATTTACTCTTTCACCATTATCCTCTCTTCTATTAATTTCCAAGTGTCTGTTGAGAGCCATTCCTTGTCTTGTCTCTTCTTTCGTCCTAGAACCGTTGAACACGTTTCGATGAAAATCAACTTCAGAGAGTTCCAGTGTTCTTCCACACATGATTCTTCAGTGATGTCGCGTAGTGTTATTAGTTAAAATAAATTCCATGCGATCCTTCAACCGACAAAGCTTGTTTCTAATTGAGTTTGTGGGTTTGAATGCCAGCCACTTTTATTCCTGCCTTGTTAAGAATTCTGCGTAAGGCTTCCGAGGTTCCTTTCTCGTATGGAATTACTACTGATGATTTAGGTTCCTTATTGTTGGTGTCGTCATTAATATTATTATTATCACTATTATTATCATTATTATTATCACTATAGCTACTATCATTATTTATTTTATTTTTAGATTTCCTTTCATATTTCCGGACTAATTTGTCCGGGTATTTATTAAGTTTCAAGGCTTCTTTTATGTTTATCACTCCCTGTCTTAGATTTTCCTTGGTACTTCTTAGTTATTGTGATCTGCCACTTAAAAATTTCACCAATCCTATTTTCATTGACATAGGATGGAATGATCGGAAGTCCAAATATCTGTTTGAATGTGTGGGTTTCCTGTAAACACTGGTGTTTAACTTCCCGTCTTCTTTCTTTTTTAACACTGCAATCTAACATTGGAAGTTCGCCTTCCTGACTTTCCGATTCATAAGTGAATTCAATTGCCTCTACCTTCGTGTTGATGTCTTCGAAAAATCTATGTGTAGCTTGTGTTCTATCTACAGTGAATATGTCATAGACATGCCTCCACCATACTTTTCGGGTGGGGCTGAACGTTGCCATTACTATCTTCCCCCAACTATACATGAATAAATATGCTACAACCGAGGATGTTGGTGATCCAATGGAAACTCCCAGATATTTCAAATAAAAATTATACTGATAGTTATACCGCAGTCAATAGGAAGTCTATTATAGTAGTTGCACAAGAAAAAAATGAATACAAACATCTTGTGAGCGGTCGCTATCTCGAGAATAGTCTTCAGATGTCCCTTCTATCTTCTGAAATATAAAAGCAATTTGTTTATACTTGGAAATGTGAGTGAGATATAGATTGTTTGGTTCACGTGTGTAACGTCCAGTAGTTTTACACTATGGGAGAATAAGAACAGTTTGATCAAATAATTGACTCATCAACGTGAATCAGTCCACTGCAAACACTCTGATGTCACACCACCGACAGATGACACTCATCAATGCAAGGGATCCAGCCAGGAAGTCTACACATTCCTACGTGGAGTAAACAGACAATAAATGCACACCGTCAACTGTTTTCCAGTTTCAACTTATCTGAGGCTACATGCTTGTCGAGCGAACTGATGGCCTAGACATCTCAATCACTGCAGCATCACAACCTAAAACTTTACTCAGAAACTTATTATTGGAAATATTACACCACTCACCACGAGAGATGGGACGATGCATGCACCCATAACGAAAGACAGCTAGTCTCTTCAAATCATCCTATTTCGACGGCCACGTCACAAACATAAGGAAATTTGAGGGAAACTGTTGCGTAGTGCACACGACCACTACTCGATTCGGTTTTAGTATACACGGAAGTAAATCGAAATACTAGTGAAGCCATTAATTATCGCCATGATCCAGATGACATGTGATACTTGGTTCAGGAGCTACAGAGACTACTTCAAAGCATATACTGCTGGTCAAAATTATCCTCTTAAAGTGCATCTCCAAACCTGACAGTTCGATCCATTTGAACTTCACCAATAATACATACAGTATGATTCTGACACAAAATCCATGCCATAGCACCTTCCACACCTCTATACAAGCCCTGAGATAAGATTTCGGGGATCATCCACACCTCTTCATCTGTCAATATGGTCCTATGTGAACATAATCATGAGGCAGAATGGTGATTATCTCACTCATGTGGGTATCTTTAATCCTGGATGTGGACGACTAAGACTGAAATCCTCGATGGATAATCGATTTAAATCGGTAATGCTCGTCTCCACTCCACAGTCACAGAAGTTCACTGACATCAGAGTGCAGCTGTTGAAACGCTTGGGATAATATTCAATGGTAACACCAAGTATCATATATGCTGATTGTCAACAACTGACAAACCATCAGCAGGATATTAGTCCACCTCACTCTAGATTCCGAAGGGTGGTTCTGAGGTAGACGGAGTTCGTCAGATATATTCTCCATCTTTAGTCCACCTTCTGATCACAGGCCCCTTGGATATAATCTGAACGTGAATCTTCCCATTTCAAGGAAGTCTCCTCCACCATCCTGCTGTCATTATGATGCTTGACATTTCGTCAAATCTCGTTCATGCTAGCAATATTGATTCCCAGATTGTAACAACTTTGGTTATGAATGCAGCTTTTTCCAGAAACACACAATCACATCCACAGCGGTCATACCCTGAGAGTAGGCGTAGACCCGATTCTCAATGACTAAGTAATTCGCTTAGCTTCATAGCTCCTTTTAATATTTATGCACCTGCTGTCTGAGAGTATATGAACGTGTGAGTGATCATCCGTTGGGATTAACAGTGGACACAACACTGGATATTACCAAGTAACAAGATGGACAACAAGAGCCTTCTATCTTTACTATCAGCTGAATGTGAATCTTTTCCAGTTCACTATTTGGCCCAGGGAAGTTCAAACTTTCAAGGACAACCGGTAATAATGACATCGAAAACTGACGGCATTCAACTTCTTCTACAGGCCGAAAAGAGTGCAAGTGAGAAAGTCAATGAAGCTAAACGGCGTAAGTTCCTTTCTTTTTATTTTAGTTGGAGTCATTTTTTTAATTCTGAAAATGAACAGTTTGTACACGCACTACCGCCCTAATATGTTTGTCATACGAATTAATTCCAGGATAAGCACGATTCTCAAAAGCCCTGCAATTCACGTGTTACTCGTGATGAATTATACGTCAGTAGAAAGAAGTTGACGCTTGTTCCGTTGGAAGTGTTGGTAAAATATGTCTTCCTTTGCTCACTAGTGAACAAACTTAATATCGTCTTACATGTAAAATCAGGTGCTACAAAGTCGACTTCCCTTATAGATTCATGCACCGAAAATAAGAGTGCCTAGTAAGTCTTTGCGTCGCCTAACAATAAGTATTCAGTCGTCTAGCATGATAAGTACTACCTTGGGCGCACACCCACCCTAACAAATTTACGAATGTGACACGCTAACGTGCCACACTTGTATGGATACACTTACCAAGGTGCTTTGGATTTTTAATGTGTCATTCTGATGGGAGGTGGGAAACTCACCGAAAAAGTGAGGTTAAAAGTCACACATCTTATCACATGAGCTTCAGCGCCTTTCCAAAGTAACAGCATTCTCCTATAATCATAAAATGTGCAGTTACATCTGGTTAATTAATGCCATATAAATGAAAGTACAGTGTACTCTAGAAATAAGCACGTCACTACCAGACTGTCACATTCTCATGGATGCAAAATGCTTACTTCCCATTCGATATCATAAGTCATCATTGACATAGTCGAGATATTTGTCGAAGAATGTATGCACTGTGCAGTAGTTCCCTGTCCCATTTTCCAAATGAGACCTAGTCACCGAGCGTGGTCAAAAACAAGAAATTGGAGGCTCCTGGATAAAGGTATTACACAGTCTCCAATCATTGATTCATGGCGTTTCAAGAACTCCAGCTTCACTTCCGTACGTGGCCCATACCAACAAAGATATGATGGATTGATTCTCTGTTATGGTTAGGCCAACTTCAACGCTTTTCCAACCTGATCATATGTCAATTAGCACTGATTGTTGAAAAAGGAGATGATCTAGCGCGTGTAACATATGTCCTAGCCATCTCAGACGTTGTGAACTCACAAGCACGTCGATTCACGTTCCCTCCTTATTTAGTACTACGCCCAATCTCATTATTACTGACCACCTAACACGAGAAATTTGATGCAGACACCTACAGTCTTGGACGTCTAGCCTCTTCAGTCGTCCACTCTCAACGGTCGTGTCTCAAACGTGAAGAAGCGTGGAACGAACTACCAGATATCATATCTGTGCCAAAGATAACACAGATTGACAAATGTCAAACTAATCTTTTATATGTATCCTGAGACTTTGCCAGAGATCAGTCCATTATGCCTGGCACAACTTCCCAGTTGTGAAGTAGTCAACAGACTGAACCATTTCACTCCTTACCCTTAAACTAGGGGTCGGTGAGGGCTAGTTTCGCAACACTGCCTTATATGTGATAGCGACAAGTTGTATGTGAAACACTAATATTTCCACTCTAGGTGTTCTGTCTGTCTGTTTTCGACATAGAACTATGCACAAATATGCGGAAGTTCAAGTCGCCACATTCCGTGTAGCACGCGAAGCAAGAGAAGAAAGTACAAGAAAAGCATAATAGAAACAGTGAGCAGAGGTGTGAGACAAAGGAGTAATAAAGAAATACAAAACAGTTTCATTGAAGATCATAAGTCACAGGGAGTGGATGCATCTGCGCCACTGAGAACGGTTTTGAGCCATGTCACCAATTGTTTCCAACCATATATTTTTACCGTCCCGAGGACCCCAGCCTGGAAGTCTAGGCGTTCAGAAGACTGCAGCTTTGAATCATCTTTATTTAGCAGGACTGTGTGGTGTACATGTTATAGTTGCGTACTAACAGATCAATTCGCTGTCTAATTCTGTCAACATTTTGTCCACTAGTAAATTTCTTATGAAACTCAGTAAAGTTTAGCCAACCTATACCGACACTAGTTATATGACAGTTTTGCATTAGCTTTTTCTCAACAGTATGCGTTTATGTTGAATGGAATATACTTTCTACGCACTAACGTGATCACCAGTTATTGTCTCAGTACCTTTCGATTAGTAGAGTGCGACACCGCTGTCAGGTCAAAAATATGCCAAACGTTGGACGCCGGTAAGTATTCCTGTGTCTAAGAATATATGGAATAGTGAAATTAAGATACCAGAGTATCGACCAAAGGCCTATCCGTTTGCACGGGTTTGCTTTTCTCGAGTACCACTTAGTCTTCGCAAGTTTATGGAACGCAGAGTTTGACATACTGTTATTCAAACAGTTTTACCCGTGAAGATGTTTCCTAAACTTGAACAATCACTAATATGTGGCAGTCGATTGGAACTATCTCTGAATCCCATGGATTGCTTAATATTTCTGAATGTAGTTAGTGTATCATTTTGCTCGTTCCATATCATATTTATTCTCATTTCTCCCATATCTTATTAATCGCTCCGTATTGTGTTGCATGACGCACTTACGAGTGTACTTACAGTGCTGACTTTTTGTTATAAATGTATAATTCCTAACTGCTTATTGAATTACTCCGATTAGTTTACTTTTTCAATGTCAGCAAACCAGTTGCAGACCAACGAATTGACATCTTGTGTAAAATGTCACTTTACCGTCAGTATACCGTATATTGTAATTTCGTAAGGGAATTCTGGGGAAGAAATTAAACATAATCTTAAAACTATTTCAGGAAAAGCAAAACGGTTGAAAGAAGCTAAAGCTGAAGCTCAGGCCGAAATTGAAGCCGAGAAAGCAGAGCGCGAACGCCACTTTAAACTATGCGAGGAAAAGGTAAGTATTAGTTCTTGTGTGGCTTTTGATAACACAGTTTTCCAACCAATAGTGCATTATTGTGGTTAATAATTGTCATAGTATAGTAAAACCCTTTACACTTTCTTTCCTCAGGTACTTGGTCGTCGGTCCGAAATAGAGCTGCAGATTCAAAAGTTGACACAGGAGATAATCGACACGCAAACTAACTCAGTCAATATGCACAAAGAAGATGCTATTAACATGTTACTTAATTGCGTAATGCAGATTCAACCTAAACTTCACAAAAATTATCGCAACGAAGCTAAAGGCTAGAAGTTGTACTGTTTTACTCTTAAATTTAGTGATATACTATTGGTTAATTGATTTTATCTCTGAACAAACTGCGAATGCATAATATTTTATCATTTGGTCGCTACATTATTCTTCTTAATATTTATGATTACCTGTAAACGGTTGAGCAAATAAATTACTCATACTACGATATTTCGTTATTTGATTCCTATCCGAATGTGCTTGTTCTTGATTTCTGTGTGTTTTTCCTGTTTCGTATTCAGTCAGAGTATGTTAATATCTACTTTTTCGTATTGTACCAATACAACACTGAATTGTGAATGGCTTCATGAGATGTACTGATAAAATAAGACAATAGGAGTACCACAACCGAATCATACTGCGTCATCGGATTCATTCTGATAATAATAATTAATGTATAAATATTAACGCATATATATATTTTTCAGCAGTTAATGTCTGTATAATACGGAGTGACGTAAACTATCAGAAATATCTGTATGTATAGTAATACTTATAAGTTGATTATTCACTTAGTTATTTCTATATCCAGGTAGGATCTATATCCTGTGCGTCGGTGGCACAGTGGTTAGGACTCTCACCGACCATGCACATGGTCCGGGGTTCGAGCCCACGCCGACGCACACCTGATATCTATGGTCGGCCTGCAAAATTTGGGCTTCCGATATCCATGCTGAAAATTCCATACTTGTACCAAAAATACAGTGTGGAATCAAGCTGTAAATCAAAAAGAAGGAAGGACTCTCAGAATAATTCCGCGTTATTCTGCTACGTTGTTCTGACTACCTTATTTGCATTTGTTTAATGAGATTGAGTGTCTGCAAACTTTCCATCTTATTTAGTTTTTATAGTGTTGGTGCTTCCTAGATGTCTGAAACTTCTGACCATTTTTTCATCCCACTCTGTGAAACAAGAAAACACTATTTATCTTACTTGGTTTTATGTCGTCATTGATTGAGTTTCGTAGTTGGTGAGCGAAACGTCAACTTTTTAAATGAGGTTATGTGAAGTAAATTAGTTTCATACGAGTGACTTAATATACTGCAAAGCTCACGTGTAGTGCAAATAATACAATTTGGTAGTTACTTGCAAAATAGTGCACTGGGCTATGAATTTTGTTTCATTTAGGAAGACCAACTGTGCTCATCGGTTAATCAGATCATGGTGGTGCCACTTACCTTTTGAATCTGTACTTCACTTGTGGGCAAAAAGCTTGACTTACATCTGAGTTTTCTTACTTGCCAATTCATTCAAAAGTAAATGTTTTCTTCAAACAACAGTAATTTCCTACCAAAGTTAACTCAAAACTATCAATAAACATTAACAGTCGTTTCTGTTGATTTCAGGCTGTGGTTAACTGGAGCACCAAAGGTGCATTTCTTAAATATGGGACTAGTGGTTAAATCATTGGAGAAATTTGACAGATCATCCAGTTAGTCTATGTTTGTGTGTATCGTTAGTCCCTAAATAGTTATTTGTAGCTCATTGACAACTGCGTGGGAAAGCGAGTGGTTAATGAACACTACCTTGTTTTCATATCATCTAATGTTGCTAGTTAAACTAAATGAATTATTAACAGACAGATATCAATATAATATACTATTATCACATTCCCATCAGTTGTTTCTGATTACAGAAGACAGAAGTGATTTCCTGGTCTGAGAAGAATCATGGTTTCTTGGTCACTGAGTGCCTAAGTTGGTCTCAAAATTGGCAGACTCAGCTGAGTATCGTATTAGAAGAAAGATGCGCTGATCTATCATTGTCACGTTTCTAAACTGCTGTGTAGTTGATTGGTTTCTAAAGTGAAGTCGTGCGTTTACATGGACGTTTGCATGGAAACACTGTTTCCCACATATTTCGTGTAAGTCTGCCAGGAAATGCTGATTACCGTAGGGTATCCTGATTACATATTCCCCTTAATTGATAATGTTCACAATAAGAGATGGCTTTTCCCCTATTGACTTTCTAGGGAACAATGTGGTTAATTTGCAGCCGTTAGACGTCAGAGTCTTTCTGGATAAAGATGATTCAAAGCTGCAGTCTTCTGAACACCTAGAGTGGAAATATTAGTGTTTCACATACAACTTGTCGCTATCACATATAAGGCAGTGTTGCGAAACTAGCCCTCACCGACCCCTAGTTTAAGGGTAAGGAGTGAAATGGTTCAGTCTGTTGACTACTTCACAACTGGGAAGTTGTGCCAGGCATAATGGACTGATCTCTGGCAAAGTCTCAGGATACATATAAAAGATTAGTTTGACATTTGTCAATCTGTGTTATCTTTGGCACAGATATGATATCTGGTAGTTCGTTCCACGCTTCTTCACGTTTGAGACACGACCGTTGAGAGTGGACGACTGAAGAGGCTAGACGTCCAAGACTGTAGGTGTCTGCATCAAATTTCTCGTGTTAGGTGGTCAGCAATAATGAGATTGGGCGTAGTACTAAATAAGGAGGGAACGTGAATCGACGTGCTTGTGAGTTCACAACGTCTGAGATGGCTAGGACATATGTTACACGCGCTAGATCATCTCCTTTTTCAACAATCAGTGCTAATTGACATATGATCAGGTTGGAAAAGCGTTGAAGTTGGCCTAACCATAACAGAGAATCAATCCATCATATCTTTGTTGGTATGGGCCACGTACGGAAGTGAAGCTGGAGTTCTTGAAACGCCATGAATCAATGATTGGAGACTGTGTAATACCTTTATCCAGGAGCCTCCAATTTCTTGTTTTTGACCACGCTCGGTGACTAGGTCTCATTTGGAAAATGGGACAGGGAACTACTGCACAGTGCATACATTCTTCGACAAATATCTCGACTATGTCAATGATGACTTATGATATCGAATGGACAGTGAGCATTATGTAAGGAAGTTTGGTGGAATGCACCATTTACCTGAAGTTGCCGACATTCACATCAATATCTCTAAAGCAGGATAAATTCGAAACATGCTTATATGGAATCATCATGTTTTGACTATTTGATTGTGGCGCATTCGAGTCTAGACGGCACTCAGGCGTCACGTTTGTGAACGAGAAATTTGAAATGTATTGTCATTCGCTTAGAGTTTCAGAGTTAGAATTTGTTGTTTTATTTTGTGCAAGTTTCTTTGAAGTATAGATTGTTAAGTAGGGACAATTGCTTGTCCCACTATTCAGCGGAGGTATATATCGGCTGTATATATCACATTAAATACGGTCACTCATGAAGTGGAGTGCTAATGTGTAGTTGCCATCGCTTTTTTTGTACGCTTGGTCCGTATTCCTCTTCTGTTGTTTGTGAGATGGAATTTACGTCTCTGTCATAGTGTTCGTATCGTTATCCTCCAAGCGGGTCATAAATTTTTACTACATAATTTTGTCATGGTTAAACTTATGAACTGACTTTATTTATAAGAGTCTGGCTAAAGGGAATAGTCTCCAGTATCCTCGTTTTGCATAAAGTTTTCTGCTGAATATGGATTTAAATTTAGGAGTCAGTTGGCATGAATGTGTATTACAGTATTTTCTCACTTCGTGTCACCGTTCAGCGAAATATCTCTAACTTTAGGGGAAGGGACTTTATTCATATGGTTAGAATTGTTTTGAGTTGGAAAATGTGGATCATATTCCCTTTTATAAAATAAACAGTGTTATATGCTTGTTGTGTGTATGACAATCGTTGATTCCACATTGAATGGAGTTTTAAGAGTCAACTGCTGAAGCGATGCAAAATAAGCTGTCTTGTATTGCTTGTTTTTCAAACGTTCTCCAACTCGTATCTGTACATAATGCGCATCTAAGGTGACTCTGTTCTAGTAGTTTCCTCCTTGCTCATTTTCAAAATACTAATGTCATCTTTTAATACGATTCATAAGGAATAAATATGGAGGCAGTTGTTGGTACAATCAGCGTGAAGCATACTTCAGAAATTTGTTCTTCGAAATGTAATTAGCAATTCCATTGATTGTTAATAAATTCTTTTTAGAACTACTTGATTCTTAACATCATGTATAATTTTATTTTTTATTTGTTTTTATTTTATAGGAATACAAAGCTGAATTACATTATAAATGTACACAAATTGCTCGAGAAATAGCCAGCGAAGAACAGTGTGAAATTGATATGAATATAGTGTGTTTGGCTACAGAGTTGGTCTTTCGTTTTTATCAAGTTCTTGCTACAGATTTGGAGACATTCAGTAAACACGCGAAACGTTCCACTGTAACTATCGAAGATGTATTCTGTTTTGTTCGAAGAAATCCCCGATTAGTGAGTTATATTTGATCAATATTATTAATGCGTTTGATATAGCCTTAAGAGTAGTGCAATCCTTCTTAAATAACACTGTGTTTCTATAACATTTGTGTATTCGAAATAAAATCTTTGTACGGCATGTCCACCACAACCACAATAAACGGTAACACAAGTGAAAGAAAAATAGAACAATTGAGGAACTGTCCTATGAGACAGTTAAGAAAATCTGTCGAGCGAATCGAAGGAAGTCTCCTTCATTCTGCATCGAGCTGATCAAGACAACTTTGGAGAAAATGGCAGTATATTCTCCACTGATTTAAATTTTCAGTCATTTTTTGATAAATTTTCGAACCAGTGAATCAGATGATCTCTCGGGCTCGACCCAAACCATTGTGACCTACCAACTGATTCTAACATAAAACAACTGCTCTTCACCTCGCACTACCACTCTATAAGGTGATTATCTTTTCGGTTTTCTTATCTAGTCCCGGGTAAACTGAAAGGTATGAGAACCGTTGAGATAACATTCGTTGCAGGTGTCTAAGCCACTCTTACCTCTGTCCGAAGATGGCACTAATGTTTCGTTAAACTGTTTCTTGACAGGAAACCGAGCAGGCTGGTATGGCCAGAGTAATCTTAGATACTGTCTGTCTTCCACCAATTCCGTACAATCACTAACTGGTTTTCTTCACTGCTGCTTAAATGAGTGTACCACTGATATATATATATATATATATATATATATATATATATATATATATATATATATATATATATATATATAAATGCATTATTTTGAGAAGGTAAAATCAATTTATAGATTAGATGTCTGTCCCCAGGCCGCCTTTCCCTTTTGGAAGGAGAACTACCTATATTCAACCTGGAATCACACCATCTATTTCCCGCTTCCGTCTAACCAACGTCAAAGAAGTGGTCCGCTGTAAAGTGAGATGTTAGCAACCTTGTTTTCTGCATCGTATTCCAAGTGTTTTTAGTACTATATCTAGTGGGAACGCGCTAACTGTTGCCTGTTTGTAGGTGTTGTAGATATCAAAGGGTCATACACGGATAGCTTTCTACGCGTCATCGCTTCCTCCAAACTTTGGTTGTTTGGAAGCTTTGCTGTTGGTGTTGTCCTGTGTAATATTTACAGAGGTTCTTTACCCTCGTGCTTTAAACATAGCTCTGTTGAAAGTATCTAAAATGCCCTTCTGTTCAACTATTGGATCGTGGATGGTAAGGTGGGGATGGTATGTGATTTGTGGTGTATAGGAGACAAAAATCTCCGCATTGTGCAGTTGTAAACTGAGGACCACTGCAGGAGAGGATTGTTGCGGGCAAAAATCGTAATGACGAGGTTCGCATTGTGGTTCGTGGGTTGACATGAGCTTACTTACTTTACTTTACTTCGGCTATCTCCTACGGGAGGATGAGCCGGCTTCATGAACGTCTCGAATCATCGCTGCCCAGGCGCGGCGATCTGAAGCAAGGTTTTGCGATAGGGATATCCAATTCTTGTTCCACATACGGAGTCCGTAGACGGTTTGTAGCCCCAGGCACTCCATATCTGCCTTGACTGTACCAAGCCATGTCTTCAGCTGTCCGCCCCTGCGACATCGCCAAGATGGTAATGGCGAGGGATTTAGAACTGATTTGACCAGATCGTCATCTGGTCGGCGCAGAACATGGCCAAACCACCGAAGGCGGCGTTGTTGGACCAGTACTGGAATTTGGTTGATGTTGTAGCAACGACGACGCACTTCTTCGTTGGAGAGTTTGTCCTGCCAACGAACATGCAGAATGTACCTGAGACACCAATGGTCTAATACCTCGAGTCTGCGTAAATCTTCCGCGCGAAGAGGCCAGGTTTCACAGCCATACAGGAGAACGGGTCGTATGGAAGCTTGGTAGACCCGAATTTTAGTCCTGAGACTGATTTCTCTCTTGCTCCATAGAACGCTCCTCAGCTGTAGAAACGCATTCCGGGCGTTGGAGATTCGCGCATTCACTTCGTTTTTCGCTTGGCCGTTGGGGAGCATTATGGATCCCAGATATCTGAAGGATGGCACAATTTCAATAGGTGCTCCATTTAGGGATAAGATTTCATCATTGCTGGTGGATGTGTTCGAAAACATTTTGGTTTTGGAAGTGTTAATTTTCAAACCGATAGTAGGCGCGAGGTGGTTTATCTGGTCGAGCGCCTGTTGCATATCGGGGAAGTTTTCAGCTAACAGCACGACGTCGTCGGCGAATTCGAGGTCGGTTATGTGAATATCGGGCGAAAGTTGGACGCCGTGGTGCTCGGTTAGGGCGTGCCGCAAAATCCAATCAATTGTGAAATTGAACAGGATGGGGGATGCTGGACAACCTTGCCGGACACCGCTGGTTACCTCAAAAGTGCGGGACTCTTCACCGTTCACTCGGACTCGAGCTTTGGTGTTGGAGTAGTATGACCTGAGCAGGTTGATTAGCTTGGTCGGAACTCCGTCGAGCTCCATTAGATACCAGAGTGCTCCTCGATCAACTGAGTCGAATGCCGCTTGGAAGTCGATGAAGCAAGCAACCGTCGGCTGTTGGAATTTGTCCCTGTGTTCCAAAATTCTTCGCAGTGTGAATAATTGATCAACACAGCCTCTTCCAGGTCGAAATCCGGCTTGATTTGGCCTTGTTCGCACGTGGCGTTCGGCCGCGAAGCGGTTCAGGAGAATGGAAACAAAAACCTTAGCAGCGATATCAATCAGACTTATGCCTCGGTAGTTCTCGCATATTGACCTGTCTCCCTTTTTGTGGAACGGTAGCAGAACTGAGGTGCTCCAATCGGAAGGAATGGTTTCGGACTCCCAAATTGAGCAGAACAGCGAGTGCAGTGCATCGATTAGCGCTGGAGTGCAGGCCTTGTATATTTCTGGGGTAGACCATCTTCGCCCGGAGCTTTTTTGTTTCTGAGTCTGTTAATTGTTTTAGCTATTTCGGTTGGAGTGGGTGGATCGCAGTCAACTACGTAGGGTGTTGGTAAGTGTCGTATCGGTCGATGAGACGGTTGACCAGCGTCGCGATTGAGTAGCTGCTTGAAGTGTTCGGCCCATCGTTCCATCTTACCATTGGTGTCCGAAATAATTTCTCCTGATGCTGTGCGTAACACAGCATGACTGTTAAGGCGTTTGCCAGATGATTGGCGTATGAGGCGATAAAGTTTTCCGAAATCGCCTACATTTGATGCTGCTTCCATGTTAGTCGCCACGTTAGACCAATAGCGATTTCTGTCGTTCCTAGCAGACTGTGTAGCTTTGCGCCTGAGGGAGCGATAAACTGGAGACTTTGCTAGGCGAGCGTCTCTGGCTTGCGAGGATAGAAGCATGGTGTGCTCTGAAATCCAGTCTTTCTGCTTCTTGGATGTGGTACCCAAATGCGACATTGAAGCTTTAGAGACTACTTCTTTGAAATGATTCCATCGTGTCTCGGGTGTATTAGAAGATGTGGATGTTGGTTCATCTGCGGCGCTTAGTTCGGCCTGGATTTGTTTGGACAAGGCTTGTCGCTTTGTCGAACATTGAAGCGGGGCAACATTGATACGCTTCGGAGGTCGCGCCTTCTGGCGTGTCGTTAAACGAAGTTTGAATTTCGCCCTAACTAGAGTATGGTCTGATCCCCCTTTATTTCCGGCCTCTGCTCCACGATAGGATCGACAGTCTTCCACCGAGGAGATCCAGCGTGAGCGCACTAGGATGTAGTCGATCTGATGTGCAGTGCGACCGTCGTTCGAATACCAGGTGAGAAGATGTTTTCTGGGGTGTTGAAATCGAGTGTTGGTGATATATAATCGATTGTAATCAGAAAAAGCTAAAAGTCTATCACCATTACGGCAGCGCTGATCGAGACCGTGTTTGCCTAGTATATGTTTTGTCGCGTCGTCTGAAGGGCCAGTGCGGGCGTTCCAATCGCCGGCTACTATGAGAACGTCACGCTTTGGGATTTTGTTGATTGCCTCTTGAAGATTGTCATAAAATTCGTCTTTGATACTTTCATCAGAGTCGAGGGTTGGGGCATAGACAGCGAGAACAGAAATGTCGAGCGGGGAACCCTTGAACCTAGCGACTGCAACTCTGGAGTTGACCGGTTCGAATGATATTAGGGCATTATTGGCTTTGTTACTGAGAGCAAATGCTACCCCATGTTGTCCCGAATTATTCTGGGGTCCACTATGAAGCAACCAGAATGAAGAATCTGTTCCAGGTACGGCTATTCGGCGGGAGCCATGATCGGGTAACCTCACTTCAGATAGACACGCTATGTCTACCTTGTAGTCGTATAAAGAACGCATGGTGATAGACTGGCTACCAGGATCCAACAGCGTCCTAACATTCCAGCAGCCAACAAATAGTTGGTTTCTAAGTGTTAATTTCCCAGCTAGCTTACTTTTCACACTGGCCACCGGGTGAGCACAGGGCGCGTCGCTTACCGGGAACGCCGTAGCATGGTGAGAGTTGTTTGTAGGAGAGTTCATGAAGTTTCTTGGGAATTTGGTACGAGTGATGTCCCCAGCATCGCTCGGCCTTTTGTTTGAGAGTGCAGCTCTAGCCTTTACACAGCCAAGTGTGACCTACAAGGCAGTAGGAGTGGAGTAAGGAGTCCACTATCCATTGGCAGCCGGTGACCGGAGTTCGGTTCATACGCCTTTTTGAATGGGGCCAGACATCCAGGACATCCAACAAGCCCTTTGTCCATACGTCTGCCGGTGAGCTTTTTTTTTTTTCATACGCCAGTCGTTGGAGGTTTGGAATCAGGGTTTAGCCATCTCCCCTAGACTGTCATCCAATGGACAGTCAACCCGGTGGAGAGCGCCGGGCATCCGCTTTTGCCCTCTCACTTTAGTGAGAAACACCTCCGCCACGTGAAGGCAGTGAGTAGGACTTCCTCAGGAGAGGCTATGTAAGACGCACGGTCATATGGGAGCATTTCAAGAGGTGTGCGGAGGGGTGGCCAACCCGCAGCGCAAGACACCCACCCCCGACCAT